AAAGACAGTGAAACCTCAGCTAATTCTGTGTGTTAGTGACAGAGGGTGATTAAAACCTCAAACCAGTCTGGCTGCTGGGATGCCCCCCTGCTGTGCCTAATCCGGTCCTGAAGAAATCTCTTCTCACACCTATTCCTCCTGAAAATTTTCTTTAGCAGAAAATTATCCATTTGCCATTGAAGATATGGAGTTTGGGTCTTTTAAGCTCCCTTTATTTTCACACTCAGTCTTCTGCTGGGAGAGCAAGCCAGGATTGTATGAGGTCTAACTAAAACCCCTCCTGGTTTCAGAGATCAGTTGGACGGGGCTGGGAGTGACCTGGTCTAGTGGAAGGTGTCCCTGCCCAAGGCAGGAGGTTGGAATGAGATGAGCTTTAAGGTCCCTTCCAACCCAAACCTATGATTCTATGATAATTGCCACAATTCCCTCCTGCATTGGGAACCAGCTGGCAGCTTCACCCTGGCACTGATGGGCTGAACCACCAGCCACAGCTCCAGCAGCACCAAAGCTCCTGAATGCAACCCAAACCGCTTGGGGAAAACAGGGAAAAGCACCGAGCTTGGCTAAACCTTCCCCTGTGAATACCAGAGCAGCTGACAAACCAGTTTGGTCACGCAGACTGGTTGTGTTTTCATGTCTAAGGAGAGAAAGGAAACAAGATGTTTGGTCTTGCCCTCCATCGGGGTGGGAACCAGGGGGAAGGTGACGTCCCTTGCCCAGCAGGCGATATTTGCCATAACAAGTGGGGATTGTCTGGGGGGAGAAGAAGGAAGAAAGCAGTGCTGTTCATGCTGTAGTGACTCACGGGGCTGTAAATCACACCGGGGGATTGCCAGGGGACTCGGAGCCACTTGCCACATCCACACTATGGGCAGTGGCTCAGAGACACCATCTCACAATTTCCCAGTACAAATACAGCTCAGAGCCTTAAATGCAAGTCCTTGGGTTGCTGAGGGGCAAAAAAATCACAGGCCATGAGCCACTGCAAGATAGGAAGGAGGAGGGCAAGACAGGGGGGGAAAAAATGAAAAAAAAATCCCAAATGAGAATATCTCTGTCCCTTAGCCCAACTCCCTGTTCCCATTCCTCGCTTTCCTCAAATTTCTCCCTGATTTTTCTTCCCATTGCAACAGACCTGTAGCTTCTCACACAAATCTCTGCAGGGACTTCATTGTCCTTTGTCCTTGGCAGCACCAGCACCTCACTGTGCTCCTCGCTCCCAGCAAGGGCTAAGATCTCACAATTTACA